ACTAACAAGCCACCACAGTACGACAAACTGACAGATGAGTGGTGTCTGTTTGGTTTGGTAGACTATACATCAATCTAACAATTTCTTCATGTATATTTCAGTGACACTGGTTCTATTGTTTGAGTCTTCATTTCATTTGTGCTTTCTTTATGGGCATTAATTTCTGACCCCAGCCTCAGGATACCCCTCAGAGTGAGTTCAGGTACAGGTGCTTGGTTTATAGTTCCAGCTGTCCTTGGGTAAGTCATTTCTTCTTTCTAGGCCTCAGTGTTCTTGCTTGCAAAATAAAGGGGTTGAAGACCTTCTGGCCTATCCCAGAATGGGAAGATTTAAAGTCACTGCAACAGGATTTCTCCCAATTGGTGAGTCACCAACTGGCTCTAGGTCTTTGTCTTTGGGCAGGTCACTTAACCCTCTGAATTTCAGTTTTATCATTTGTAAAATGTGAATAAAAACAGCTAACCTCATTGAACTGTACATGTAAGGATTGTTGAAATGGTGAATGTTTTGTTACAAATATATTTACCACAATTAAAAACAAAAACTAAAATACCAATCAAAAGCCAATCTGACTTGCAGAGTTAATTCAGGGTAAGAAAAGAACAGGTGACGACAGGTCTTGCCCAACATCTGGCTGTAGTGGACTCATGGCAGATGGCAGCAGTTGTGACTGAGTATTGAAAAAGCTCTAGGCCATTTCTAGAGCTCCAGGATTAGCTTCTGGGCAGCCTGTCCGCTTTCAAGCACTGAGGCTACCTTCCTTCAGACTCAGATCTCTAATTCCTTACAGGACACTATCACTTAGGTAAGGACCCACCACTTGAAACTAAACACATCAAAATCCAAGCTCCTACCTCTCTTCTCTTCCCTGAATCAGAAGGACACTAGGTTTTTCTTGGTCCCAGAGGATCCCAACAAGGATAGTATTCTGTCTCCTTCTGTGGCCCAGCTGGCTTCATCACTGTCCTGAGATTGCCTGGGCAGGGCCTGCTTCTCACCATCTCCCTCTTCTTTCTTTCTTACCATGGCAGACCCCAACTATTGCAGTTGCCTCTTGGCCACCTATCTTTCCTCCAGTATAGGCTAACCACCACTCTCTGAGTAATCTTTTTTTTTTTTTAACTCACATGTTAAGGCTTTATTGAAGGTCAGGAGGAAAAGAGCAAGAGAGCTGAGTAATCTTTAAACATAGCTTTCATTATGCCTTGCCTGTGCTCAACAGTCTACTTGTCTTCCTTTACTTGTGGACACTATATACAGAGAAGGAAACCAAGGACTCAAAGAAGTTTAGAAAAATATGTCTAAGGTTATGCAGTTTTAAAAGAACAAGGACTTTCAGTCATTAAAAATGTTTATGGAGAGAACGGACAGGATGGCGGATCGGGTGGACGTATAGCGGAGAGCTCCGCCGACAGCAACAGGGAGTGCCCGACCAAGCAGACTCAGGGGATGGTCCCGGGGCTCTGAACCACATATGGGGGAGTACCTGGAAGGTTGGAGGGCTCGCAGCTGGGGGAATTTGTGGCAGAAGCAAGAAATCTATTGCTTTCTAGTCCGGGATGCTCGGCTGCTCTGGGGGCCGCCATCTTGGGTGAGACCACGTGGGAGAAGGATCGGAGCGGCCACTGACGGCTGGCAGAACCACTGATATAAAGGTGTGGACATTCTTCTCTTTTGGTAGCTGGTCATTGGTCCCTTGCGGTCTGCGCACCTCCATTCTGGTGACTGTAGGGGTGCCTGAGCTGGTGGGCAGCCCGGCCCCACCCTCGGAGGGTTCTGCTACGCAAGCACACAGATCTCCTTGAGATTTAAAGAGACAGTTTCCAATTAAAACCAAACGGCCACAGCTGGCCCTGAACTGTTTCAACTAGAAAAAAGGACTGAACGGGGATTGTGGAGCGGGACAGAAAGACAAAAGAGGAAATAGGCCGAAAATTAAATCCTAAGATACATCAAAACGACCAACAGTGGTATCTTGAAACTTCTCAGGAAGAAGAGTG